ACTAATTAATGCCCAATTGTACCCGATTGATAGTAATCTCGGAATACTCTCTTTAGAGATTAGTCGCGCAATTTTTTGCAGGGCATGAAATTATGTGCGTACTTACATACATGAATAGATGTATAAGTAAGCATAAATACACACAAAAGTCATTAAGATTTCGTATTTGCGATTGTAATATCAGTTGGCGTACATTAATTACCAAGCCGCGGGCGTACGTGCACACAACTCAAGCGCAAATAAGCGAAGCAGCATTTTAGGCGCCGAAGCTTAATTAAATGCTGAAGTTTTTTACCTACCGAAATTGTGAAAAGTTTGTGAATATATATCTATATATATAAATAATATACATATGTACATACTTATATTCATACTTCATTCACTCTAACATTCCCATTTTCATTTATGTATGTCTGCTTTAGCTCAACTCATTACAAACCCCTCCTCTTCCCCTCTCAAAATCCTATATTTATGCCGTCAAATATCATTTGCATATGCTTTCTTACTATTGACATACTTTTAGGTAGCTTTTAATTTAGGGTTTATTTATCCAATACCAATTTCTGTTTTGTAACAAAAAAAATTCCGTTATGCTTTTATTGCGCACAACCATTTTAATTGTGTTATTCACTGAAGCGTTGCCTGATTTTTGGAGCAAATCAATATTTTTTCTAATACAAAGTTTGTGAGGTACAAATTAAATGAAGAGATAATTACTTTTCGGTAGTTATAGTGATTTGTGGGATTTCATATTCATAATCATGAGGAGCATTGCAATATTAAATCGTAGCTGTTGCATATTTTTGGGCGCTACTGTTACTTGATTGGAGATTTGTTAAATTTCACCGCATATCTTTAGGCGCTGTCTATAATGAGCTGCGAATTCTAAAGAACTAGTTACATAACATACCACATTGGCCGCAATTTAACTTATTTTTTTTGCATAAATTCTAAAAAGAAAGTTATCATTTTCAAACTCGGTACCAGGGATGTTGCGAATATTAGCATTCGCATTCGTTATGCGAATGATTCGCACGCAATCGCAACGTAACGCACATATGTACATATGTTAAAGATTGTTTCAATTTAACGCTTAGTATTTAACAGGCAAAGCAACCTTTGAACACTGCTGCATGTCACACTGTATACACTGTATAGGTAAAGCACTGGTTCAATGTTCTAATAATTTATAAAACGATGACTTAAGTTGCTTATAGCTTTATTAATGATATTCTTAACATTCGTATTCGCATTTGCACATTCGCATTCCGAAACATCCCTACTTGATACATATGTTCTTCACGCTGTTAGCAAGTTATGGTATAACTTTTTTAAAACTTGCTTAAACCCGTTTATTCTGGCACCCAAAATTGTTATACATATTTCAATTACCTAATTGCCACAATTCAAGTTGAATTTACTTTTTTTAACATGTGGCAACCCTACTAAATATAGTTCTGCATTAAGCCTTTCAAACATATTTAATTGATACCAATCTCCTTCAAACACCTCAAAAATACCGTAAATATTCAAACTAAAGATTTCCTAGCACTCATTCGTTTAGATTTTTTAACAGGTGGCAACCCTTACGAAAAATAATTTATTGCACTTACATAGGCCAAGCTTTTGACACCTCATTTTTTTTTAATTGAATGAACTGTGCAAATCTGATGTCATTAACACAAAATATCATATGAAAGGTAATAATTTTAAAAAGATCGGGGGAAAATACCTCAGTTGCCCACGTTTTAAAAATGTATCCCACAAAATTCACAAAGAATTGAAAACATTTATTTCAGTAGTAAAAAAGTACCATCCAGGTTACACATATACATACATATAATATTCTTTCGAAATTCAATGGTCAATAGATTACTCACTAAATGTCTAAAAGAATTTAAAAACATCTACTACATTCATAAATTAGCTTCAGTGTTTGTTAAAACCCAAGATTTTGAAGAAACTTTTTTTGTGTTTTTATGGTTGAATATTTACTGGCAATTCTTGATACTATCAGTGTTACAAATTATTTGCATTGCGTAAGCGAATGTGATTTTTGGTGACTTTAACGTTGAAGCACCTGACTTTTTTTGTTTCAAAAGCAACTGCGTATTTTATATACATATGTACATGTAAAATTTAACATTTTATCAGATAATTTGTTTCACTTTTTACCAGTTACTATTGAAAAGATTCTTTCTTAAGCAGCGCTTCAATTGGTTCAAGGGAGAAAATTTTCAAAAGTGTTCGTATAATTTCTAATACATATACATAATTTTACTCCACATCACATCTTCAGAATGATTAATTACTTAAGAGTGTCGAATATTCTTGAATATTTATTAATTATGCATCGATAATTGTGGCAAATGAAAATCCCTTTTTATTTTAAATGTCCCCTTTTCCCCTTTAAATAATTTTTGCTCCAAAATATCTCTCAAATAGGGAAATTACCCACAATCTGGCATCACTGCTGTGGATATATTTTTTATGTTTTTAAACAGTATATTTCTTGGATACACATATTTATGCCACATTTTTGTGTTTCAATATCATTGAAATTGTGTGTTTAATTATACGTCATTTTTAAGCTTTTAATATCATTTGAGTACCTGCCACCTTTTCACTGTTTTTCTGTGAAATTTAACAATTCCAATATTAAAAATGTCGCCCATTCAATTCAACGCTATGATATGTAATCATTCACTTTGACGTTAATATGCGAGATTATTTACTCTTAAACAACCAGAATGCAAATTATAGATGAGTGGCGATTTTTAAGCCGCGTTTCAAAGGAATAAATCCAAAGCTGGTGAAAACCCAAAAACGAAAATAGTGATTGCTGGAAATCAGCTTAGCATAAATATTTTTATGAACATTAAAGTATGTCAAGTATTAATATGCATTCAACATTTTTGTATGCAAATATGTATGTATGTATGTACCTATTTACTTATCTGCTCAGACCTACATATACCTTACCTATACATAAATTTGTCACGCCCTGTCATATCTCGACATAATATTTGCTGATACTCGCAATCACAGCGCCAGAGATTCACACTTTTTTCAGCTTTGGAAAAATTCATTTTCAGTATTCCAATACATTTATACTTTGTTATAAAAAATCATTTAAGAGTTAACAAAAAAACCAGAAAAATCATAAACTTTATTTATTCATGCATATTTTCAGGCGCTTTGGCAGTTTATTGAAATGCCTCAATTCAATGGCAGGCTTGTGTAAGATAAATGTTGTTGTTATTTGCATTTTTCATTAATCAACTTTTAGCGGTATAGGAAATTTTTCTGCATGAAATTGTAAGAATGTACTTTTAGCTGTGGGCTTTATACGATTTTCTACCCTACCGAGCTTCTCAGCTTACTAATGAGATGTAATGTAAAATTAATATTCGACCAGAAAAGACTTTTTTCACAAAAAATCAATGCGATTTGTAAGGATTTTTCCCATAATGCTTGATGTCTATGAAAAGTTGTAAAATTGATCTGTATTTGATGAGTTTTGTGTTTATAAATTCATTCGAATGTCAGATGTAAGCATTCGATTTAATTTCCATAGCCTTTAAATTGTAAATTTGAAGTGCACTTATCAGAAAAAGAAGCGCATTCACAACAATTTTGTTTTACAAATAGCATGCCGAGTTGGTAATAAGAGTGAATGAATTCAAAATTCAATAATTTTTTTTTTTAATTTTTGCCACATGCTGCTTGTGTGACCGTAATCCGTAATGGACTTTCTCGGCCTTGTATTATTTATTCTTAAACATATTTCTGTGCCGTCTCATCCAACGCAGAGAAAATACCTTAAAATATAGAAAATTTTAGAATGAAATGAAATAAAAGGAACATTTTATTCCTATTTCCCGAAGAACGACCTATAAAAAGTATACTATAATAATACAAATATACATACTTTGCATTGAGTTTATGATTTTTCATTCCAAAATTTTCATCCTTATTTTAAATTAAAAGCTTAATATATTTTAATGTTGTTTCACTATATTTTTATTCTCAGCTAGAAATTAATATGTACTAAAATGTTATTGCTAAAAATTCATTCAGAATTCTACTAAATAGTAGTGTTATTGCAATTGCAATATATTCCATCACCATACCCGATAGCTAATTAAAATCACCCAGTTAGTAGAGAAATAATACCCATATCATTATATTCTTGTATATACATATTTATGTATATGTGTATAAGCGTACATTAACAAAGCATCAGTTATGTATTTAGTATACAGTATTACACTAACCAAAAGATTTCAATTTAAGTTCGCCTCAGGCTGGTAATAACGCTGTGCCTAATAAAAACTCATTAATAGGATAAGTAAACTTATAAAAACCATCATGCATATGTGCATCGTTAGTATTCTAAAACTACCGTATTTATACAGCAAGCAAATGTGTAACAAAATTTTTTATTAATAAAAAGCGAGCGCATTATCTAACTAACTTTTTTTTAGTTTTTATCTGCGCAAGTGGAAAGGCATACAATTGCAAGGCCAAATTTGTATATCTACTCTGAAAAAAAATTAATTAAACCATTGGCTTACGCTAAATAAGTGCACTTCACCTGCACTGCGACCCGCAATTTTATGCTCTCCCCTAATTCGCATGAATTTGTTTTTGTTGCTAGAACATTTTAGCAACATTATGAATTGCAGTTACAACTAAATGTAAATGTTCTTCTCCTTTATTTTTCTATTTTCATATGTACGCATAACGCACGCACACGCACCTGCCTTCCCCCGCTTTCAACTGACGTACGTTATTCTGCCAAACAACAACAACAACAATGTGCTACTTATGCCAATTTAACGCTGCCTACCATCCAACTTACTAACTCAACAACTCGCTTACAAATATATGCTTTTTTGGCTGCATATCCTTCGGAATAAAATCGCATAAAACCAACATATGCACATATGTCGCACACACGCACACAACGCCTTAATTTTACACGCATTGGGTAACAGCACTGGCCGCAATCAGCCACCGATGTATACGGAAACTTTGTCGGAAAGTTTGGCGCTGATGATCACCTCGTTGTCGGTCGAAATGGAAGGCAAATATTATTGCACCGCCTCCTATGCAAATACGGAATTACTGGAAACGAGCGTTATAATTAAAACTTATGGTAAGTTTCTATTTAACTACGAGTACTAGTTTTAATTTCTTTTTTAACCTACACTTTATTGCGCTGTCCTACACCGGCTGGAGTTCACACCCCTCGGCGTAGACGCGTCTCTGAACTGGCTGTGCTGTGACGCTCTCTTTGGCGCTGTTAAAGGCGCACTTAGGTGTTGCACTGACACTCATCTCGCCGCGCCAAGTCCAGCTTGTTATTTCTTACCATTGCCACTATGCCAATTTCCAATTGTTTTATAGGTCATAATTTGTTGCATTTTTACATGTCGGTATTTATTTTATTACTATGGAATTTTGAGTTTTCGTACAGTTGAGTGCAGCAGTGCGTACTTCTTGTCTACGAAATTGTAGAAAGGCATTAGTAATTGTTTAACACACGAGCGCACCCAGCAGAAACCGAAATAAAAACTGGAATGCGAGTAAAATGGACTGCATATGTAGCTTCCCTGAAAGCAAAATAGCGGTACTTGGCACTTTACCTACCGGTGGCAAAGAGAACATACCGCTCTTCGTTCCAGTTCTTATGTGTGAAAACGGCCGGTAACTTTGGGTTTCTTTGGGTTTCTTCTATCAACTGACACGGTAGAATAATTTGCCATCGCCCAGTGGTCTGAATTGAGAATCTAGTCTTACAAAAATATTTTAATATATTGGCGTCCTAGTTTATGGGGCCACTGATTACAAATCTTCAGTCAGGTTTCAAAAATCCAATATGGCAGACAAATTTAAAAAAAATGTATTGAATTCGCTCTAAACTTGTTACTCTGGGGTTTCTGAAAAGTGAAAATAATATTATGGGCGTCGAAAAAGCGCGTAGAAGGAGTATATTGTACCTTAAAGCCAACTCTTCACAGAATAAGATTTTATGAAGTTTGAGTCGAAACTAAGCGGTACTACTTAGTTTTTTTCTATTTAAATATTAAAATAAAATAATTTCAGGTCCAACTTTTCACGTTGAACTTACAGAGCTCTATAAAATTCCTTTATTATGAAATAATCTTTTAATTACCAGTAATAACTTCTCTGCAGGAAAAAAAAATGTTTGCAAAAGACACACCGGTACACTTTAAATAGGTAATCGAAATCGCACAAAAAAAACGTGTCTCTGTTACAGCTAACTGATTTACATCGGCTAGCCAACTTATAACCTTAATATTCCTTCAATAGTAAAAGAGGTAAAAAAAACAAAAAATTAGTTACAATTATCTATTTTATTCAACAGCAAGCTATGACTGTTGACAATAGTCATTGCTTGAGCTGATCTGCTCTTCTGCCAGACTGCCAGGCCACTTGCTCACTTTGGTGAATACCACTAACTTGATCTTTTAAAACCCCACTCAGAGAAGTCATAAACGACATATAAAGAGCCTAAAATCGCTGTCCGAAGTTTCAATTTAAGCCATCTGTAAGTTTCAAAAAAAACCATACTTAACTGTACTAAACCATCAACGAATTTATGCAGCTATTAGCAAGCCACTCTAAGGCCAGCCCAGTTATATCTTCTGTTGTGTGGCAAAATTTTACTAGCACAGCCAGGTTTTCTGGGTTGCTGTAACAGAAACTTTACGAAGAGACAACTCTTAGAAGCAGGCAATAGAGATCTTATGTCCAGCTGAGTCTAAACCGGGATCTCGAATCTCGAATATGAAAATCAATAAATAAAATTGCGACTTACACAATTGTAGTTAAGTAGCCAATTGCCGTATTTAGATCCCGATTTCGACTGTCAACAGGCTACCGAAGAGAGTGTCTTTAAGCATAATTTTTGCTACGGGTACGACCGCTCTATCGAAATTGCTACCTTTAGACCTGCAGATTCGATATAAGCTATCCAAAGGCTTTTTTCTGTATATAGTGAAAAGTGTTAAAAATTTAATATTTCCATTATACATACACTACGTATAATGGAAATATTCAATTAAAATACTCCCGTATTAAAAGGAAGCAGTTTTCAATGCACGGATGGCGTTTTGCACGTCTCGAATGCTTTTTCATATGTAATTAAGAAAGTATATGTACCCTGTGGGGAAAATCTCTAGTTCTGAACTGGTGCGCTTCTAGTACGTTTAGACCCAGTACTGGTTCGCGATAAATCTCTTTTGCTTGCAAGCAACTGGCGAATTTAACATGGCGATGTCCTAGGAAGTGTCAATTGCCCCCCCGCTGCATCCCTTTTTCGATACTTCCGAACTAGTCCTAAATTCTATAGTTCCGAACCAGTTCTAAAATCGACAGACGAAAGAAAAAGGTATCATAATTTTTCAATCTTTTTGGTTCTTCCGTGTGTGCGATTTTAAGATATTTTGGAAGAAATGTGTTTTCAATTTGAAATTAAATTTGTTTGAATGATTGTAAGAAATGTACGTTTACATACCTTTAGCTGTAGCTGAGTTTGCAGAGGTGCTCGCTGTTATTTCTTAGATTCCAGACGGTCCCAAGATGTTCAAATGTTAACACAAATTTTAGTTTTACGCTATGAAAAAGCATCTTCGAAGCACCGAATAGAAGCGTATTTGAACGAAAAAGCCACCGAACACATATCTATGTAAAGTAAACAAGCCCCCCCCGCTGCATCCCTTTTTCTATAATTCCGAACCAGTTCTAAATTCGTCACTTTAGATATAGAAATTAGATGAAAAAATTAGTTTTTTAAAAGTACCAGTTTTCGCCGATTTTGAACTGGTGGGGATCTAGTTCCCATCGGACTAGTTCCTTTTTGGCGATAAAGACCTAGTACGGAACTAGGAATTGGATTCACTAGTCCGCAGTTTCCCTGCAGGGTATAAAAAGCATGCACAGCGGTGACAACACATACACACATACATGGTGCATGTTTATATGTACAAATACACTAATCGCGCGCTGTGATGTTGATTCAAACTAAAAATTTGAAAACACATTTACATGTATGGCTGTAGCTGAGTGATATATAAATGATATCGTAAAAATTTGGTTAGTACTCGTTGTTTCTTTAAAAGTATCTAAAAATGAGACAAAATTCCATTGCGAATAGTTATAAACATACACTTTGACTTATGCGATTTCTAGGCCGCGCTGCCAAATTAACAATGAATTTGAGAATCAAGATTGTGGCACCAGAACCAATTATTGCTCGATACATAGTAAGAACGATTCCAGAGCGCATTTAATGTTAATGTCAAGAATGGACGTTCAAGGAACGTTTGGATCCAAGAAGATTAAGCATAGTTTTCCTTCTCCACATTTTTCTCTATGCCTATGTACGTACATATACGTTTCGAACTACCATCTTTCTTACGCAAAACTGTGGTCAAATCACCAAGTTACTGTATTCGTGAGTAAGAACAACGTACCTGTAATTTTTTCATCTCGGCGTTGAGAGTCCAAACACTTTTTCACCAAAGAGAAATGCCAACTGACCCACTTCGTCGCCTTTTTAAACTAGTTCGCATATAGACACGAAACTTGCATATGTATAGTTGAACAGAACTAGATCTTTAAGGAGCCCCTACTACATACATATTTGTTTCGAAAAAGAAATTTCTCTGCCACACAGTTATACGAGCATCTGGTCCCAATCGCACTAACAAAAGTTCAAGCATTCGCAAGTAAGCAACGAACTCAAGAATGAATACATATTTTTGGGAATTGCCAGCAACCGGAATTAGCCCGCAGTGAGCCATAGAAAAAATTGAAGAGCTGTAAGAAATGAAATGCTCTTGCCTGCTTTTAGGCGCACAAGTTATGTGCAACAAAGTTTCTCAAGTAAAAACGTCGTGTACGTGTATGTTTAACAGCAATTATGGCCATAAACAAATTGTTGCTGCAAGTGTTGGTGGGTGGGCGTATACGCCTACGCTCCAAGTGTGATGCTTTTTGCTTATTGCGTGCTTGTACAAGTTTTCGCAAGTAATTTTCAGTTTTCACAAATTTCATTTCATAAGTTTCTAATATTCCATATATATATATTTTTTTTATTTATTTGAAAGTGTGGCGGTCTGTGGCTGCATGAACATACATACCGATTTCTTGTGGTCCCGTTTGAGCCTGTAAATTCCTGTGTGGTTTTGTGGCTAGCATATTTTGTATGAATTAGATGTGTGTGTGTGTCTGTGTGGACATGCGCACTACATAAATAAGTTAAATTGAAATTCTGTTTATTTGTAGACTGCAAAAAGTGCAATCGGAGCTATATACATATACATATATCTACAAAATTTGAAAAGTTCTTAACCAAATATGGCACGATTATTTTGGATGGAAAAGCAAATAAGGGAAATTCGGTTTTTTAGCCTAAAAATATGCTTGAGTTTTTGCACTTTTGCTAGCTGGCGTGCAACTTGGTTATTTCGATGTTGGTGGCAAACTAAAAAGTTTCAACGCAATTTAAATTAAAGTATGAAGAAATAAAATGCAATATTGGAAAATGTTTTAAGCCAAATGGAAGTCTGATAAATCAATACACATGGAAGCAATGAGATTTTATTTAAAACAACAACATGTATGTTACCGCATAACTTTGGACCACGTCAACTGATTTCGATAATTCTTTTTGCATCGGAAAGGTAGTGTCTCAGAGGTGGTCCCATATTAATCTGGTTTAGATCCGCTCATTGGATCATGAAATATATATACATATATTTTTTTTAATGACAAAATTTCGATAATTATATCGATAAATGGTTTGCTAACTATATCGGTATCTCTTATTATATATGTGCCAGTTACTGTCGAAACTCGACAGTTTTTCTAGTTTTTAGGAGCCTTGGAGAGGTTTTCTAATTTGACACGTAGCTTATACGGTACAAAATAACTTACCGGAAAATCTTCTGCTTTGGAACTAAAACGTGACTACAATTTTTTTTATCTTTGAAGGTCTTTGTAGGAATTCGGCAGGACTTGGAATTAACCCGATACATTACAGGTTATAGCTAAATTTCAATGATTTGATACATATCGATAATTCGATGAATTTCAAAAACACTAACTCGAACAATTTGGATAACTGCTTTCGAGGGCTCATTATCGAATATTACATA